ATGCAGTGGCTCCCTCTCTCTGCCACATGCACCCGGCTCTGTCATCGGGCGGCCGATCGCTCCTCCGAGGCCACTGCGGGCGGCCCTCTACAGTGCCTGATCCAGCCAGCCCGGATCGCATAGCAGGAGCGTTGCAAAATGTGCAGCCGCCTTCCCCGCTATGCTAATAGCGTTTCTTCTCAGAAGCTGCACACAGCGCGCACCGGTTTAAGTAGTAACCAGCACACGCTGTATGCAACTTCTAACAGCGTGGGAGACGGGGGGCTGCACTTGTTGTTGGATCCAGGAATCAGGTAAGTATTAGAAGAAAAAAAAGTTTTATTTTATGTTCTATTCTTAGTTCTATAATGGCATTGTAGTACTTTCAGGTGGAATACAGCTTCATAACATATCAGCTAGGGAACTACAAGTCCCAGCATGCCCTCATTGCCCCTGTACAACAACCAGATATTGCCGTTCCCTGGGTGATATGTGTGTGTGTGTGGGGGGGTGTACAGGGACAATGATGGCATGCTTGGACTTGTAGTTCCTTAGCTGATATATATGTGTGGGGGTGGGGGTTACAGTTCCAGTGGATGTTTATATAATATCGGGGGGGGGGGCGAAAAAAAATGTTCTGCCCTGGGCGCCCATAACTCTGGTTATGCCACTGCCTCCTACCCACCTTTCCCTCCTTGGTTTCTTTACCTTCCCCACACTTCCATGGTCACAAAACCACCCCACCAGTTACAGGTCCTCCCTCCTCCCCTGCAGGTAAAACTGTCACACTTCCCCTTTCCAGTTCACAGAACCTTCCTGCCACCCACTTTACTCCCCCCTATTCACAGCAACGCACCCCACCAGCCACAGAATCTCCCAACCATTTCACACCCAGGTCACAATGGGCTTAAATGGGCTGCAAAGGTAACATTAGGAGTCTAATGCCAGGGGGATGTAAACCAGTGGTTGCTTTTAGTATATGCAATGCCCCCCTTTCCCTCAATCAAGTCTGCTTCTGCCTACCAACCAGAAGATGGAAACTCATGGAAGTGCCTTTTTCTGAAGACTCTTCAGTCAATTTTGTCTTCATAAGAGCGGTAAAGGTTTCCATTAAAGCACACCTGTCAGTTGTCTAGCAGACTAGAGGCTCAAGCAGCAGGAGGTAGATAAAAAATGATACCTGTACAATCCTTCAGAAGTATTCTTGTTGAGCCCTGGAGTCGTGAATCTCAACTTTTACACTTTACACTCTTGTTCAGTGCTGGCTCTATGCCTTCTCTTGTTGACGTTTTCAAATTGTCTAGTAAGGTCACCGAGTACAGTACACTGAGATTTGGGGGATGTAGGCTGAAGAGGAACAGGATGTAGTGCTGGCATCTGCCAGTAACTTATACCGACATATGTACTCGGTACATAGGGTATGCTAATGACTATCTTAAGTACAGATATGTGAATGGGCATTACAGAGCAGTGTTATGTTATGGAAAGGTTGTGACACCATGTGAATAGATTAGACCGCATTTTGACTATAACCATTGCTGCTGAACCACTAACCTGAAATCAGTTCCATGTAATGCTTCCGATACATCCGAATGTCCGAATTTCCGAAAATTCGTCCGAATTTCGATTCGGAACGAAACGAATCGCACATGTCTAGTGTACATAAGACTGTCTATATTAAAAGACATAGTTACTGATGGCTGACACTTGGTATTCCTTTTCAGATTGCATAATCAGACATTATAGAGTTCTGCATTGAGAAGCCACGGACCATTAAACATCAGAGATTTGGACTTTAGTGAAGAAAACTTGTGTGAAGTTGAAGTTACTACACATGTTAAGGAGAATTAAAAGTTGAAACAGATTATAAACAGCCTGTGTGACCCCACGTCTCCCAGCATTCAGATACAGAAATGGAAGAACATTTTGACATATTGGGTGAACTGGAACTTTCTGCCCCCATAGTCCCCTTAGAAAATAAAGAACCTGAAGAACATCTTGATGACATGTGTGAATCGACCTCCCCCAGCCCTGTGTACAAAGAGGATAAAAAAGAGAATGTGAACAGCTTGTGTGACCTGCAGTCTCCTAGCCTTGTAACTCCTCAGGGAGATACAGGAATGGAAGAGAATGTTGACATATTGGGGGGACTGGAGCCTTCTGCCGCCATACCCCCCTTGAAGAATAAAGAAACTGAAGATCATCTTGAAGACATACGTGAAATGACATCCCCCGGCCTCGTGTACCCACAGGATAAAAAAGAGAACGTGAGCAGCTTGTGTGACCTGGAGCCTCCCAGCCTCATGGCCACCAAGGAGCCAAACAAAACTGAAGATAAACTTGATGGTGTGTGTGAACTAGCATCTCCTAGCCATGTATCGCGATGTATTCCTGATGATCAGCCTTCGTCTCGTTATACATCTGTGGAAGTCGATGGTGAGTGACCTTTCTGCTCTAACTTTAATTATAATAGTTATAATTAATATTTTCTCTAATTCATAGGACATTTCTAGTTAAATAGTAGAAGTCGGGAGTAATCACTCCCTTTATTATTAACAAGCATTTCAGTGACCTCAGAATGTGTGATGTGTCTAGCAAACAAAGAACTAAATAAATACAATTTAAATAATACTAGTTTAGGTACTTAAACAAATCAGTGGCTGTAGTTAATTCATTTAGATTCTTACTAAAAAAAGATTCTATTTTGCAAAAAGGAGTGCAAGATAAGTGTGCGGTACTACACCCCTACAGGATCATTACAATAACTTATGCAAGGTAAAATGGAGCTTTCTAGGTGCCAATGATTGTACAAACTTATGTCTAGATAAAATAATCTAGACATGCCCCCCCCTGGAGGGGGAGGTGGGTGCAACTATACACCACCAGAACTATTAGAATAATTCCTTTGTAGAATTCTATGGTTTTTACTAGGAGATCTACAGGGGAAGGACTTATATGGCTGTTTGAGATGGATTGGGGGATTGGTACTATAATGCTTGGGTTTAATCAGTCACCCTGATTAGTGAAACGCATGAAACATCCCTCTATACAAGCAATTTAGCTCTCCTCCTATCTTCATATATAATATGCTGTGAAGTTCAGTTAAGTGGAAATTTGCTGGGCTCTACCTTGATCGCCCAGGAAAGCCCCCACTTGGTTGTTATGCTGCGTGCTTCTTTCTTCTCCTCCCCCATTCTTTGTTTTGGGTGTCCTGGACACTGTTGATTGTCCACAGATTGTTAAGGCTTCTGAAGAAGCATAATCACGAAATGCGTCGAGCCTTTATGTCATATGAACAAGTAAATAAAAAGGACTCTATCTATCTTTAATATTATCAAGTATCTGTGATATATGGAATGTATATCATGTTACATGGTTGTAATTCAGTAATGTGGACAGACACATAATCATTTTAATATGCACAAATAAAAGATTATTTTATCCTGACATGAGTTTGTACAATCATTGGCACCTAGAAAGCCCCATATTCTGGCCATAAGTTATTGTAAACATTAGAATTCTTAGTTCATTGCAAGGAACTCTCCACACTACACTCTCTGGCACTTTATGGCACTTTATGCCATACTTTATTTTATAGGTTTCCTTCCCATTGTCTTTGCTACAGCCTGAATGTAGGGACCTTGCCCTAAGCAGAGGTTTCCCTATTCCCAAATTTAGTGGTTCAGCTGGGCTGTAGTCAGCCTGAGGTCAGATCGATAGGCCTGGACTTGGGGCCTAGAAGTTGTTTTGGAGAGTGGGGTACAGGCCACTGCTGGGGAGACACTGCCGGATGTTTTGGAAGTCCATGCAGTGGGTCCACATGTTATTACCACTTACAGTCTGAAGTGTATAGAGTGGCAGTTCTGACATAAAGGCCCTCTTCCATATTGATTGTAAGTAGTTCAGGAGTCTATCATTTACTGCAGTTCTTGGTATCCTGTGCCCTAATTCTTCACTGTCTGGGTTTGATAAATGCATAAGTCTCCCTAAAGTGACAAGGTCCTAGTTTTCCTTCATCACACAAAGAGTCAAGAATCCCACCCTGAAATGAAATGTCAGCCCACCAAGCTGTCTGGGGTCCTCATCCACTTTCAGGGGGTAGGGGGTGCTACATAAATATATCTTTACTTGGTTTAATGACATTCTAACCTGATTTTCCTCCGCAGTTGTGTCTTTGGCATTTAGTGCTAAATGCTCTTCATATCCCATTGCATTGGGTGGTGGAAGAGAACTTAAATAGAGCCTGTTGCCAAATCATTCATTTCAGCAACAATCTAACCAAAGGATTATATGTGATTTTAATATATATTTTATGCATGTTATCTACCTGTAAAAGCCTTCCTTGTGTAGGCATCCAAAAGCCCTGAAACCTCTGCTGAATACCACCATCTTGGTTTCTGATGGCAGCAGCGCTAGCAGACATAGAGCTGTTACTTAAGTGATGCTCTATAATATTCTTCTTGGCTCCTCCCCTGACTGTTACATAAAAGGATAAGTAGGGAAGGGAGGGGAGGTGCAGAGCAGCTGGGCCAGCACAAAGAATAGTTAGACACTCCCAAAGGAGGAGAGGGCTATGATGTGCAACGAGGGAGAGGACTGTGTTAGGGGATCAACTCTTTCTGAGGTAATTATATTTTTAACAAGTTCCAGGACACATTGCAAGTATATGAAAACAAAAAAAAGGAAAAGAAAAACAAAACAACTAAGCATCTAAAATAATTTTTTTTTCCTGTGCTTTTACCTGTATTTTTTAGTTATAATTGTTTAGTTTAATCCTATTATCATGAAAAATAGCAATACAGATATATTAGAGCAAAATACTATCCCAATAATGCAATGTAGATGTAGGTTGTAAAGTGTTCCATAGTGGAAATAGGGGGTAAAGGAATAGTTGGAGGGGAATGGAAAGGTTCAATGCTTGGGAGGTAGCAGTCCCTGAGACCTCTGAGATATCCCTGAGGTTGGGGGTTGTGATTAAAAAATACTTGGGGATCCGTACTTTTTGCAAGTTGTGAAAGAGTACAGGGATACAGAGTATGCAATGACAAAGCTGGAGCAATAAACCTTGTTTCTTAGAAAACGTTTCCATTTATTTTAAAACTGATTAGAATAGGGAGGAATGGGAGAAGGTAAGGTAGGGACAGTAGTGTGGGTAGAAAGAGACGCTTTGGTGGTAGGGTGGAGATACCCAGCCATGGGTTTGGGCAGGGAGTGCCCAATAGGTGACCCCCAGTCATTCACACTTAGTTTGTAGAGCCCGAGTTTTATTATAGTCTTCCGAGGAGTTGTGTAGTCTAGCTGACAGGGACTCTATTGTTCTTAACCTCTCCTATGTTAGGTGAGGAGGTCTATTTGTAAGGAAGGGGAAGTTGGTTTCATTGCTATTAACAGCTTTACTCTGCTCATCCTAAATATGATCATCTCCTACTCTGCTTTCCTCTCCTCCCTGGCTATGATAACCTACACCTTTGCTTCTCTATCTACCAAGCACAACCTGCTCTCACTCTGCATTTATCTTTCCTCCCCAACCACAATTACCTTCTGACCAAGCCATGATCAGTTCCTGCTCTGCCTAATCATCCAAAGGTCCACACTCAGCTGCTACACCGCTTAGTGTCAGGAGCCGAATCTGAACCCAGGGCCTCTGCTGTGGCTGGCGGAGGTTCTACCTGCTGAGCCACCTTAGAACCTTGGCTAGCGCCTTGCCTGATCTCCTGTGTAATCCTCAGTTAAACCTAGTTTCTGCTAAACTCTGAACTCCTTGCTCCTCCCTTGAACTTCCTATTTAAGCCACGCCTCTGTACTTCCTGTTTGCCAGATTATTGTGCTCCTTCCAATATCTTGCGTCCTTGCTCCTCCTGTGATACAATCCGCTCATACTGCTACCCGTGTACCAACCTTTGGCTGCTGATTCACCGACTACTCTCATAGTCTACCACTTCATACCTGATACCTTTGGCTACTGACCTCGGCTTCATCTCTGACTACGCTTCTGCCTGCTCCTATACTACCGTCTGCTTGTGTACCGAACTCTGCCTGTTTGACTACGACTTTGCCTGCTGTTACAGCTACTTGACTCCGAGCCTGATCCCAGATCGTGCCACTTAGCTTCTACAGTACTTCATCAATCTCTGGTACACAATCACTTTGCATTGTGTCCTCCTCCCCACAGAACAGTTAACTTCCCTTCTACCACCTCTACCATTTTCTCCCCCACTATAGGTAGTGCACAAGCATATAGTTCTCAGCCTTACCCACCCACCATCAGAATTGTATGTACATTTTTTACTTATTTTTTCCCAGTCCAGGATCATGTTCTGTCTGTCTCCCCTCTGTCTTTTTCTCATTCCTTGGTCAGCTCAGAGCCTACTGCCTCTCTCTTTCCTCCCCAGCATGTGTTCAGTTTCTGCTCTGTCTTCTCTCTCTTTCCACTCTGGCATATGTTTGCTACTGCCCTGCTGTCTCTCTTATTCTCCACAGTATGTGTTCAGTTACTGCTCTGTCTTCTCTTCCAGTGTTCCATGGTAGTAGCAACTCCTCTCTCCCCACCACCCCCTTCCATGATCAGCTCCTGCTCCTCCTCTTCATTCGCTATGCCCCAGAGTCACAACTAATTGCTATTGCTCCTCTTCTGCTCTTCTCTCCCATCCACACTCACTGCCATTGTGTTGTCTCTTTCTCAATTACTGTGCCTGTGATGCCTGTACAAGAAATTGAGTGTTGTTAGAGGGACAGGAACTTAGAGCAATAAGAACACTGTCACAGGTTCTTACCCTTTTCCACTCTACTAAACAGGTGGTTTCGGTTTTGTCTGTGCCTCTATTTCTCTTCCCTTTTTTGGGAGTGAGGGAAAACCTCTTCACCTTGGTGGTGGTGTGTATATGCTTGCATGTAAACTGTCTGGCAATCCAGAAACATAATATAAAATAGTAAAATTGTGTTTTTCTTACAGATCTTCATACCAGAGAAACCACCTTTCATCAGCTTGTAGAGAGAATGAACATGAAACCTTACCTGGCTTCAAAATTGACTCTGAGGGATATCCTGAGTATTGGTTTAGAGAATGTTCATGGCCAACCTCCTAAAACTGTAGAGGATCTACCCTGGAATTACTTGAGGAAACTCATGGCCTTAAACAGGACTATGAGAGACATTCTTGAGAAAGATAAAGATGTAAATGACAATTATGATAATGATGATGATGATGACAACCTATTTAATGCTTCTTTGGTTTCAGGTGACAATTCATCAGCCTCCATTCACCCCCTGGATGTTCTGTGTGTTCTCCTGCATTGCTCAGACAGTTTTCTGCAACAAGAAATTGTAAGCAAATTGTCCATGTGTCAGTTCGCTGTTCCTCTTCTGTTCCCAGCTAGTGACGGGTCACACTGCACCCTCATGCTGGGGGCAATGAGGGACATTGTGAAAAAGTGGAGACCTCAGTCCCTAGCTGACATTAAAGGGTTCAGAGAAGAAAATGTGGTGAATACTTCAATGCCGATCTTCTCTTTTGTCAGACTAGGAAAAAACAAGTTATCCAAATCTAAAATCCTTAACCAAGTGCTTAATCCAGCTCAACTACATAATAACTTCTTCATACATGACAATATGGAGGGAGGAAACATTAAGAGACAAATATCTGATGGACTGGTGGAAATGTCCTGGTATTTTCCTTGTGGTAAGTCTGATGTTTTCCCAGAGCCCATTGCAGTCACCAACCTACGAGGAGACGTGGAGACCAATGGGGACCAGTTCATGTTTCTGACTCAAATTTCATCGGCTGTGTTTATATTTCTTGAGAGTATTTCTGAGGGAGAATTCAGATTGTTATCAACTTGTCATACCACTGACACTCAGTACTACTTTATTGTTACCCCTGGTCCTGGGAAAGCGGTCAGTGCACAGACACAGAAGACTCTTCAAAACCTAAAGCCAGCGCTAAAGTTGAAAAAATCAAATGTGATAATGCATGACGGAACGGCAAACGAGGCAGCATTTGTAAAAAAACTGCAAAGTATTTTTGTTAATTTCTTAAACAGTAAATCAAAAAAGAATAGTTTGAGAGATCTTGAGAAAGAAACTTGTGAATTGCACATCCAAGTGGATGAGAGTGTTGCTGAATGTCAGAAAGCCAGGGACCATGCCAAACAAATTACAGAAGAAATAACAAATGTGTCTGAGTACAAGAAAAACACTTTGACATTACAGGGAGATCTCTGGAGAAAGCTATCTAAATTAGAGAAGGAACTTTGCAGAATGACGAATCAAAAGGGTAAAGAAACGCAACAATATAAAGATGAACTGGAAAAGGAACAAATATCATTGCATGAAGAACAACATAAGCATGATCTGCCTCCTGGTTTAAAGCTCTTTATTGAAGCAATCGCTGATTTTTTTCAGACTGAGAAACAATATTTTATAAAATGGATGAAACTTGAACTTGATTCAATTGCTAGAGATCATCTTTCTACTCTACAAGCTCAATACAAAGAAAAATGTAACAACATCTCAAGTAATAAGAAAGAGCTCAAACAGATAGACCAGAAAATTGCTGACAGTTCGTTAGGCATTGAACATTTCCTGCGTGAGATGGGACAGTTTTATGAAGCTGAATGTTCCATGGTTAAGGTAAACAAAATAACTAAAAGATTTAGGCAATTTGTTAGACTACCAGAAATTGCTGCTAATCTCTTGTTAGATGGGTTCCCGTTGGAGCTGATAGATGGAGATGTCTCCAACATTCCCCTAGGGTGGATAACTGATGTTCTCAAAGAACTGGACCGTAAAACAGGAGGAAAATGCAGAATGAGAGTGATCACAGTGCTGGGTGTGCAGAGTACGGGGAAGTCCACCCTTCTCAACACCATGTTTGGTTTGCAGTTCCCAGTGGCCAGTGGAAGATGTACACGAGGAGCCTTCATGACTCTTTTGAATGTGAAAGAGAACCTCCATGAGGAGCTGGGCTGTCACTTCATCCTGGTCATTGACACTGAGGGGCTGAAAGCTCCAGAGTTGGCTTCTTTGGAGAGCAGTTATGAACATGACAATGAACTGGCCACACTAGTGGTCGGGTTGAGTGATATCACCATTATCAATATGGCCATGGAGAACACCACAGAAATGAAGGATATTTTACAGATTGTGGTCCATGCTTTTCTGAGAATGAAAGAAATAGGAAAGAGACCCAACTGCCAGTTTGTACACCAGAATGTGAGTGATGTGTCCGCTCATGAAAAGAACATGAGAGACCGGAAGAAACTTCTGGAACAACTAAATGAAACGACAAAAGTAGCTGCTGCAATGGAGAATAAGAGTGAAATCAAAACTTTCAGTGATGTCATGAACTACAACCTGGAGAAAGACAATTGGTACATTCCTGGACTGTGGCTTGGTGTCCCTCCAATGGCTCCAGTAAATTCTGGGTACAGTGAACATGTGTCTGAATTAAAAAAGTATTTATTAGAATTAATGAAAACCAAGAAATCGCAGAACAAGCCTTCAACCGTTCCGGAATTTATAGAATGGATTAAAAGTTTATGGAATGCTGTCAAACATGAGAAATTCCTCTTCAGTTTCAGGAACAGTTTAGTGGCAGACGCTTATAATAAACTGTGTATACAATACTCACAGTGGGAATGGGAGTTCCAAAAAGCTGTCCATGAATGGCAGATCCATACAGAGACAAACATTAAGAATCAGACTACAGAAAGTCTAAATGATGAATTGTGTTCAGAATTTAAGGATGAGCTCAACAGATTGCTACTTAAAGAAAAAACTGAAATGGTGAAATTGCTGGAAAACTATTTTAACAATGAAAATGAAAATGTTCATCTTATAATACGATACAAAGAGGAGTTCACTTTAGGAATAGAGTCCCTGAGGAAAGAATTGGAAATAAATGCTCTTAGCAGGATTGATGAGGCTGTTTCTGTGCAGAAAGGGAAATTCAAAATTGAGAAAATCAAGAGCGGCTCCCAGAAACTAATAGAAGACAAAATCACAGATCTGCTTGGAAAGTGCAGAGAGAAGAATGAGAAACTAAGTCAACGAGAGTTACAGGATACATTTGAGGAGATGTGGGAGAAGACACTGACAGAGCAACAGATAGAGAAATTACCAAGACGTATAGTTAGTAAGCCAATGCTGACACAACTGAGGAATGACATGAGTACTAAAGGACCAGATATAAATGAAGCCTTACTACGTGTACACAACTTAGAAGAGAACATAAAATATTTTTTCAAAATAGACGAAAAACATATTCAGACTGGGACTCTAGAGAAAGTCAAGAAATGGTTCCGCTATGAAAACAAGGAAGTGTACGATAAAATAGAAAATTTTGCTGTTTCTGTAATAAATAAGTGTGACACATTTGTCAGAGAGAAGGTCAAAACTGAACAAGATTATGATGACACCTACTGCCGGGAAATACTCCACATGATCAATACAGAGCTCAGTAAAGAGCCAAAAAATCTTAACTTCTCCTCACATTTTGAATTGGATATCAAGTGTCACATTCTGGGAAGAGCATCCCAAGAATTTCAGGCAATGCACGACAAGTTTATAGAGACTAATGATCCAAAACTTTCTCTGGAAAGGCTAAAGCCGGGATATTTACAAATATTTACCTGTACATTTGAAGAAAAAGATATACGTCAGACTAAGGCCAAAGAATTTTGTGAGCGATGCCTAAAACCAGCCATGAAGGATCATGTCTTCAAGCATCTTGGAAATAAAATAGTAGATGACATATTACACGGCTCAGACAACAAGAAATTCCGCAGCAGAACCTTCTTTCAGAGTTTTTTGATGAAAGATCTGCTGGAAGAAGAGTCATTCCAGAAATATGTGACATTCATTGGCTCATATGAGGAATATACAAGAGACTGGATACAGAACTACATTGAAGAGAAATATGGAGATCCACAATTCCTGAAACCCTTAGAAGAAAATATTATCTCTTCAGTGACTACAAAAGTAAAAGCAGCTCTTAAAGGAGACAAATGTCTCAGAAGTTCTTATATCTCATATTTCCTGAAATGTGTGTGTGAGTTGCTGCAAAATGAATTGGTGATTCCACAGGATGAGATGAAATTGATAACTTTTCAGAACACGGCTGATGTTGTTCAGTTTTCAGATAACATTTTGCTCTTCCTCAAGGACACAGAATCAGGAATCTTATCAGAGCTGCAATCTATGAATATAAAGTCTGTACTCTCTATGGTGACAATGAAGCCTCAGGATGAATTGTTCAGGAAGGTTGTTGGCTGTGGGAAGCAATGTCCATTCTGTAAGGTACCCTGTGAGGCCGGAGGTGGTGAGCACAAGGAGCACTTTGCTACTATCCATAGACCTGATGGACTGGGGAGATACAGATGGAGTTTAAGTGAAGAATTAACCACTGATATATGCTCATCATCTGTTATATCTGATAATCGCTTTAAAAATACAGACACAGATGTTTCTTGGCACCCATACAAAAACTATCGTGAGATTTATCCAGACTGGTCAATTCAGCCAGATGCCAGCATCGAGTCCTCCGATTACTGGAAATATATTTTTGTTATGTATAATGAGAAGTTTGCTGAAGAATACAAAGCTAAACCAGCAAAACTGCCGGATGGCTGGAGGAAGATCACAAAGAAAGATGTTTTGGGCAGCTTAGCCCGCGTGTTCAATGAAAATCCATAGACAAAAAAATCTGAGATAAGTCAGCAACGTCTCAGTTTTCATTCAAATTTTCCTTAAAGACTGGCCTTTTATTCTTCATAGATATGATTTAGATTGAAGGGATGAGACATGAAAAAGCATGACATGAAATAAATATAACAATAGACTGAATTCAAATCGTTAGTGTTTGCTCATACAGCTCAATACACAAAACAAGTTTGTCCAGTGATGTGACATACCTGAGTATTGCTGGTGATAGTGTGATGAGGTGAAGGGATCATTTATCATTTATGCTGTTTAGTAATGAATAATGTTTTAGATTTGGAAATCAGAAGTTTTCTAAAATACTGAATAATCTGCATGAGGGAGTGTTGAGTATTAAAGTGAAATGCGGTCCACACTTTTATATTTTTCAGTGTGCGAACATGTTCTTTCTTCTTGTTCTATGACACCCAATACATTGTTATCATCTGAGCTTTCTGTTTACTTTTTCTGAAGTGAATTCTGTGTATATTCCATTGGAAAGTCAGCAACACGCTGTCCCTCAGAGGGACAGCGTGTTGCTGACTTCCTCAGAGGGACAGCGTGTTGCTGACTTCCTCAGAGGGACAGCATGTTGCTGACTTCCCTGGACACCCTGGACACCTTGGACTCACTGCTTGTGCGTTGTCGGGTGGCGAACTTTCAATCCACCGACTAAATTGAGTGGAGCTAATCTACATACCGTAGCAGCAGCAGCACGGTCCAGTGATTCTGAACCTGGACAGAGTGCAGCTTATTTGCTTTGACCATCAGTTAGCAGCCGGCCCTCTGATCCAGCACACTGCCTCTGGAACCTCATCTATCCCTGCCTTACCGTGCGGCCGCACTCGCAAGGGAAACCCTCGGGTCATTCCAAATGTGGAGAAATATTCCCACCCCCGTCAGTTGACGCTAATCCGGACGAGAAATAAGAGAAACCATGCGATCTTTAAAAGCACAATGCAAACAACTTTTGGGATTGCAAATCATTATATGGATATGCTCCATTAAAACATCCTATTTACATCCAACATGGAATCTCAGATGAACTCTCACTCTGTAGCCACATATGAAGTGAGTAACCCTGCTGTGTGTTGATAAAATTGTATCTGCTTTTTCCATATAGTCCATCTACTTATACCAGTGACTGCCTGTTAGTTTGGTGGTTAATTAACCCCGACTGTCCTGTCCAATACTTGGGCTATTCAAGGGAAGCCTTTTAAAGATTTCAAATGTTGTGTATTAGGTGATTTATGATTTGTACTACTTCCATGTTAATTAAATGTATTTTTGATACATTATATACTCATTGAGTTACTTGTTCAGCTGATAGCTCCTAATGTGGGATTTCTTTGCTAAAGGGATAGTGTTGTCTTGATGATATGTTTTGAAACCCAGGAGCTGAATTCATATAGTTTATACACTTGTTACTTATTGCGAAACTCCTTCTCCCCCGTTCGTTTATACGTAATTATGTAAAAGTTGTCTTTGGAAATATTACAATGCATTTTAATTAATGTTCCCTAGGCCAGAGAAATAGCCTAGTTGTAAATTGACTCGTTCTGGTGATTCCGGTGATTGCAGAGCGTTGTGAGAGAGCCGAACGGTGCACTCGATAACTGTACGGGACGGAGCGATGTTGCACACGACTAGCACATTGGGCGCCGGAACCGGAAGTCCATGCATGCCTCTTGATTATTTTTATCTTGCTTTAGATTTTGATCCAAGTCATTATATTAAACTCTGTTTTATCATTAAACACTTGTTTATTCTACTGTGTGTTGGTTGGCCTTTTATTCTGAATGATGGCGTGATAAACCACAAAAAATACTACAATGGAATTTCCCACTGAGGGGGCTATTGATAACATAGAACACATACTGCTATCCTCTCTCCACTGTAAACTGCAAAGTTACTCCATGTGCCATTCATAAAATGCACGCTGCAGAGTGGAGCCTTTGATGACTTGCAGAGTTCTCTCCAATTAACACAGCAAAGAGCACTCTGTGATTGGAGGAGAAATTGGTCACGTGACTATGGCTGGTGACATGACCCGGCTCTCTTATATATTTTTTAAACTCCATTCATTAGTCGAGTCCTAAAGCAGGCGGAGCGCTAAGCACATTGGTAATGATCAGCAATGTGCAATATTTATTAAAGGCCCTTCTCTCACTCTTCTACATGTACTGTGCACACATTATACAGTTCCTCTACAAAATGGTGACTCAAATGCCGTAAAATAGGACAGTTTATATAACACAGTGAAGAAGGCAATTGCAAGAAGTGAGTTGGTAATATTAACCAGTTCAGTGCCGCCATGTTACCCCTCCCCCCTTCATTACCCGGCCATTTTTTTTACTTTTCAATGCTGTGAAAGTTTGACTGACAATTCCTCCGTCATGCAACACTGTAACAAAATGAAATTTATATCATTTTTCGAGACAGATAAAGCTTTCATTTGGCGGTATTTAACCCCTTAGTGACACAGCTTCAGAATTTTTTTAGCATACTGTCATACGGTGCTAACGTTTCGGGTCCGCACAAGAGTGTCACTGTCGCTCTGATGAAGGATCCCTGTGCGGACCAGAAACGTTAGCACCGTATGACAGTATGTGACGTTGGATATTGAATAAACATATCAATACTTTAAAAACCCTTCAAGTGTGTGCCGGTGATTTACTTTTATTTACTATTAGTGTTTTGCACGGCGCCATCCCTGTGGTCACCTGGGCACCACATATACCTTGTGGTTTTGAGACCGTGCAGTGCAAATGGGATTTGGACTTTCCTTTTGGAAAGTAGACACTCCTGTGTGATCTGATTTTTTGCCGTAATATCATGAAAATAGAGAAACATTCCGGTATTGAGAGTTAAAACCTGGAGCTTAGTAATAGTGCACAAGATACAATAAATGTACAGGTCATGCATGGAAGGAGGAGGGGGTGTATGGGTTACTGTACAGCTCACATACACTGGGAGGATGGAGATGAAGGGTATTATGTAAAAATGTGCACAATAAGGGAGATGAAGGGGTTAATACATACATTAGAGCAGAGATAGAATGGAGCTAACATATATAAAAGAGGAGGAACGGTAAAAGAATTAAAAAATGTTATTATAGTTTTTTTTTTTGCTGCCACTACTGCAGCTTGTTTTTACTAGGAAGTAATGAATGGATGACTAATCCATTCATTACTTTCCTTACTCTCCCTGTCTCCTATTTTAAATGGAAGGGGAAGGATAGGCAATGTAAACATTACCATGTGATCGCTGTGATAACCAATTGGCCATTGTACAGTTATGTCTTCCCAGAATCATGCGGCAGCGGACCAGCCGCTTTAATACAGTGGAAAGTCTGCAGGTAGCTAAAGTTGAATTCCAGATATATAATGTGTGTCTGTGTGTGTGTATATATATATATTTACACTTGACAAGCTTGGCACAGTGTAAGTGTATATATAAATTATCCCTGGCAGGGCCACAGGGATCGTCTAATACAGTGTAGTGGCTGCAGCTACTACACTGCCTTAAAGATACTTCCAGGTCCAGGAACAGACTCTGTGCTGAGCGACGTCCCCTCCGCAGGTTGCTCAAAGGGCACAGCAGCCATTCAGCAAATGCCTAGTATTTTTTTCAAGATGCGAGGTGTTCGCTAATTGGATGAGGGGCGGTGCCCTGACATCACCACACCTCATCCAATCAGAGAACGCCTAGTGTTCATTGAGAAAAATCCTAGGCATTCTAGAATACTAGTTCCCTGAATAGCTGCAGTGTACACTTGCAAAGCTGTGGGTATGTATAGATTTTTAGCCCTCATTCACACGAGGTACAGCCGGCCCGTACAGATCCTTGCTGGCCGTATTGGGCAGCTTCCGGGAAGGACAGGTGCTGCCTGTACGCAGCAGCCTGTTCTTCTCTATGGGAGTATGCGACAGTGTGCTCACCCGAGCTGCACATCCGTGCAAGTGCGGCAGTCTGTACTCGTACGCTGACAGGATGGATCCTGTCTGTGTCCAAGCAGGTACACCCGCACGGACGCGCAGTTCGAATGAGCGTAGGGCGGCGTACGGCCGCGTTCTCCCATTGGGAAGAACAGGCTGCTGCGTGCCAATCACACGCAACACCTGTCCTTCCCGGAAGCTGCCCAATACGGCCGTGCACGCAAAATAGATCTGTACCGGCTGGCTGTTCCTCGTGTGAAGAGCCAGACGGTACATTTTTTAATTAACTTTTTATTAGGCCTGAAGCCTAAAAATTTAAAATTTTCTCCACAGGAAAATCAGTCAGACACCGGGGTTGGATTGTAATCAGGTTGTCAACAGCTCTCCCTCTCCGTGTTATTCATTGTAACACGATGAGTAAACAGCAGCTCTGCCTTTGCACACAATACACTGCCCGGGGGGTGGGGTCACTATGCATACTAATGAATGGGAGAGCTAAGAAAGAGCTTGCAAAACAGGCAGGCATTTCCAGGAGGAATTAAAGAGGACCGTTAACAAAAAATGTATACTTGGTGTACATCGCTGGCATATGGGTTTTTTTTTCACAGAGACCATTTCCACCGATACAGAAAGTGATGGGAAATCCAAAAGTTGTCACCGGAACAGGAAAGGGGAAATCTTCAAATGGGGACACTTGTTCTGGTGACAACTAAGAGGGGATTTTTATCTCACTTTTTAAAGAGTTCCCTTACTTCCTGTTGTGTTTCTGGGACAGGAAGTGAAGGGAAACCTCTCCAACAAGACACATACATCAAAAAATAACAGAGGTTTCAACCATTCTACAAAAACGGGAAAAAAAAGTTTGGACTATACACACTATAGTTTTGGGTATATAAATGCTGTAAGCTGCTGCAGTGCCTTCCAAATTTGCAAGAAACAGTGCACTGGGAAGCTACCACCAGGTCATTGGTTTGTGCAGCGTATATCCAGCTCAACTGTGCGAATTCTGGAGGACTCAGATCATAAGAGGTCATGTCACCATCATCATTGACCAACTAA